TTTCACTGAGTAGAATCGCACGTGAAAACCTCGTGAATTATGATGATGCAACCATCTACCACAATGATAAAAATCCTGGTATTTTGTAACTATTCAGTATTCGATGAGTCACATTTTGGCTTAAGAAACTCCGCGGAAACCTTAGAGTTTTCCTTCTAATCAACGTTTGGTGAGTAGAAATTTATTTTACTTCAACAATTTGTTTAACTTGCACCAGATGTAACAGGGAAAGACAGAGGAAAGTGAATATATAGGTTGAGGATCGTCTCAGCTGAGCGTTTCGCGTTTTCATTTATGTAGCGCAATACCCAATTTCGCACAAAAACCAAATCTACATTTAGGATGAAAAAGGTAGATTCATCACTATTGGTAAGGTTACACCGACGTATTATAGTTACACTGAAGCATTCAAAATAGCTCATGCACGTTTAACGTGCCTATGTTTAGGTTTTGCAAGGGGTCTTGTCTGTGCATTTGCAAATGGGATTACTTTTATGAAATAAATTAACTTCAAACATGCAGGTGGTGAAGATGGACAACCCAGTTAGAAGAATATTGTCAAAAACTTCATTGCTTTAATATTTCACACTCTAATAAAAGACAAATCCAGATCAGCCTGTTTACAAAGGCAACATAGTTAAAATTAGGAATCAGAAAGTGCAAAAGCAGAAGCGCTACAATGACTGTGCACTCTTTGCTATAGCCTTTGCCACCACTCTATGCCATGATGGTGACCCCACCAGCAAGAGATATGACCAGAGAGCCATGCGCCCACACCTTGTTGATTGCCTGGAGTCTTCAAGGATGACTGAGTTCCCACCAACTGATGATACAGTTGAGCTTGTTCATCCTGTGGTAGGCAAAAAATGTACCTATTTAATTACTGTACTTGCCGATTGCCTTGCAACTGCAACGCTGCTTATGTCAAGTGTTGTGGATGCTGTGAGTGGTACCATCCAGATTGTGCTAATATCCCTGAATCTGCATTCCATCCAACAACAAAATGGTTGTGCTTTGAATGCAACCAGAAAAACACAAACACTTAAACTCATGTGATGTCAAAACAAGTCTTCCTGTTGTGAGCAAAAACCTTTACGGTAGATGAAGCAATTCTTTCAGGAAACCTTATATTACATTAATATAAAATTATATAAATAACAAAGTATTAATTAGGTTATTGTGGCTGTACTAGAAATTTTGTGTAAATTTAAAACTTGACATACATAATTGAAAGCTTCTTTCTCTTATTTGATCAGTTCAATAAACAGCAGAGACAGAACTTTTTTTTCTCAGCTGTTACAAAAAAATAAAATAACTTAGAGATGGTTAAATTGCCAATTTTTATAACTTCCAAGTGTAAGGAAGAAATTGGATGTGAATTTTAAGCCTTAGGAGAATCTTCTCTTTGATGAATCCTTTCAGAGGAAAAAAATTGTTTATTTATCACAAACAATGAGACACATGCCTGTGGCTAATGAACAGTCAAGCCAGAAAAAACAAAATTAATACAAGGTAATGCAAAAAGAAACCACCACAACTTGGCATACTAACAGATTGTTGTATTCCTCCTTTTGTTAGTGGCACTGGTGATTTGTGATTCTTATAGTTATTTTGCCACTTTTGTATGTGAATTCTATCAATCATGTGTTGGATGGTTTCATGTATAGGCGAGCAATGAGCAAAACACCCATGTCCATTATACTTTTACAATGTAAACCATTGAATAAAAGGTTTACTATCCAACTAAATAAAATCACATCATGTTTGCTTTGTCCAGTCCTTGCATGCTGTTGTGCGCGGTAATTGTGTGTGCTTTGTCCTCCTTCAATGGCAGAAAAAAATTAGGCTATCACATTTAATAGTCACACCCTCTTCCTGGTTGACAACATATAATAAAATTCCTTCTTACTCCTGGGGAATTCTATTAGACTGCATTCACCTGAGAGATTTCCTTAAGATATGAATTTACCCCTGAGGAACTTATTGAACAGTACTTTTTTTCCAAATAAAATTTCACGAATTCTTTGTTTACCCTGAATAACTCCAATGTTTAAGACTATTCCCCAAGGATTTCCAAAACTATTACAACATACCCCCTAGAGAATTCCATTGATCTTTGCTCACTTCCTTAACCAAAGGAGAGTGCTGATATCAATTATGCAATAGTCCATTTCAAACTGGGATTTTACATGCAGAATTTGCACATTCTCTTGGTAGTCACTTAGTATGGTGAAATGGCATAAGATTGGAATAACAGGTAATGTTGTCAAAGAAGAGGAGTCCCGGCCAACACCGGCAAAAATAAATAAGAATAAGCTTAAAAATAATCTAAACATCACACAGATAGTAGACAAGTGATTGGGACCAGGCAGTGTTTATTTACATTCCACAGTGCAATAAACTACTAGACTATTAACAATTCCACGTAAACGATAAGAAAGAGGATACTACAGCCATACAATGAAATCAACCGAAAAATTACAAAATGAAGAAACAAAAACAAAACAACGAACAATCAAACTGCCTTAGGTGTGGGNCTAATAAAGTCTTGTGATTATACAATGAAGGTTGCTCAATATGAAAATACGGACTATGAACCCTTCCTGCCCCCAACCAGGGCCTCTCTGCTACCGATGTCTAGATTTATATTAATAAGATTAATATTCACCTAAACATCACACAGATAGTAGACAAGTGATTGGGACCAGGCAGTGTTTATTTACATTCCACAGTGCAATAAACCACTAGACTATTAACAATTCCACGTAAACGATAAGAAAGAGGATACTACAGCCCAAACCCAGAGATGAGATAGTCGTGAGGTGTTAGTGAGCGTGAGAGTGGTGTGGATTATGACGGAGGATGGCTTTACAAAGCATGTTAGCTGAGTGAAGGCGAACGGTTAGAGGCATGGTTAAATAGATTAAAATGGTGTCAGAGCGCCAATCGCCGAGAGCTTTAATTAGTTCAATGGGTACCCCTGAGTGATAGGCGAAAGAAGCACCTCCTCTGCGAAAAGAATGCCCCGCGTAAAGCTTTGGATCAAAACCGAGCGACGCAAGATGACGGCGCAGTACCAAAACAAAAGACTTATACGTGAAAACCTTTGCGGCCTGGCGCTCGTCTAACCAGTTAAATGCCTGCGAATCGGTTGTGGAGACAGTAGCTGTAAAACGAAAAGCATTAATGACAGCGGCCGTCGGACATAGCTTAGAGCGAGGGATGCAAGGCAGTGGGATTTCCACTATCCGTTCACGAAATTGGATAGTCTTACTCCAACGAATAGTGATCAGGGTACCCCAGGGGAATATTTTGAAATCTGCCTTAGTCAGTTGTTTACGCGGGTCAAATAAATGAGGGGCCATAGGTAAAAGGTGCGATTTGCGGAACATACCATAGAAAGCCACCAGACAGGTGGCCCAGAAAGAAGCGTCGGTGCTATTTGCCAAATTAAGTCGATCATGGAGCTGAGAAAGCATAGCGGGCGTAATTGGTTGTTTTTGATTTACTTTTATTCCTTTTTGTCTATTAATGCCGGTGAGCAGGGTCCTCAGTGGCCAGTTGTCAAGCAGCGGGTTAGGCAGGCCAAATTCCTTGTGGAGGATGCCAATGATGTTTAGATAGCTTCGAACTGTGGCAGCTTTTAAACTTCTGGCCAAGAAGGCCGCGTAATGTAGCAGATGTGTAGGCTGAACGGGGACCGGGCTGTAACCCATATAGTGGCAGAAACGCAGATAGGTGTCGCGATGGGTCTGGTAAGTCGCTTTCGTAGATTCTGCAAAGAGCTGAGCACGATACTTAGAAACTTCCTGTTGCAATTGAAAAGCCAACCGAGGGTCGCGTGCACCTAAAAAATATAAGAGAGCGGCTGTAAGGGGACATATGATCCGTCAAGACCGTGTTGTCAACAACCCCGGGCGCAAAACGCGCTTACAGGAAGGAATAAAAAACGAGGAGGTGACCCCGCTCGTGAAGCCGAGATATAGCGTCCGCAGTGGTGTTACGAAACCCTTCGAGATAAATAGCGGTAATGTGAAAATTGTACATAGCAGAAAGCCAGAAGAGTTCACGTAACTCCTGCATGATCACTTCGTTGCCTGTGGTGCCCTTGTTGATAATCTGGACGGCGGCCTGATTGTCACTATAAATAGTTACGCGATGATGTGCCCACACGTGTCCCCAGCGCTTGGCAGCTAGAACAATAGCTAGGGTTTCTTTGTGGTTAATATGTAGCTGGGACCATGCTGGGTTGTCGAGGGAAAAGTGAAAATAGAACCAATCATCCCGAAAATAGCCTCCCGCCGCGAGAGAGCACGAATCAGTCATAACATCGACTGTGGGTCGGTCCTCTAAGAAAAACTGCTTTCCGTTGAATACGCGCAGAAATTTTTCCCACCAGGAAATGTCGCAGTAAAAGGAAGGTCCTAAACGATGCTTAGCCCCTGGTGAAAGGGAATTCATGGTAGTAAGCACTCTGCGGAGAAAAGTGCGTCCGCCGTAAACGACTCTGCACGCCCAATTTAGTTTGCCCGCCAGCCGCTGCAGTTGGTTTTTGGTAGCGCGGCGTTTATGCATGAAGCTAGATACAAGAGCTTGACATTCACGGAGTTTTTCTTGTGGGAGCGTCATAGTGCAAGCAACTGTGTCGAGTTCGACGCCTAGAAACGTTAGCTGGCGTGTTGGCAGCACGAGTTTGTGCTGGCTGATGGTGAAACCCAAATCCGTGAGCAACTGTAGTAACACTTCGTACGCGCGAGCGCATTCCGCCTGCGTGGCACCGATAACAAGAAAATCGTCAAGGTACACGATGACATGCGGAAATCCTCTCTTAGCCATCATACGCCGTACAGCCTGTGTCAAGCGATGGAAGATTTCTGGGGAACTTTTAGCACCAAATGGAAGACGAGTGTCGTAAAAATAAGTGTCGAAGTCATCTCCCGAAAAACGCCACTTGCAACCAGTCGCCTGATAATTTGCAGGGTGAATAGGCACTGACCGGTAAGCATGTTTGAGATCGATTTTGGCCATAAAATAATTGGGTTTTAGAAGTTTAATCGCGTCATCTAACGTTTGAAATTTGAAGGAACGAGTGCTGATAAAATCATTAACCGCGTGGCCATGCGGTCGCGAACAGTCATGAATGAGACGCACCTCGGTGGAATTCGGTTTTGGAATAGCTCCTAAAGCGCTAACCACCGTAGGTTTAGTAGCAGAAATAACATAATTGCCTTGCTGAATTTCGTCCCGAATGGTTTTTTCCACCAGCGGGCGGATAGCGGGGTTAGTAGCCGATTTATAATTGCGCATGTTGACATCGGTAAATTGCGTATTGATATTTGCCATTTGGAAGCCGTTAATAATGCCATCTGCCAAAAAAGTTTCGTCCTCGTCGCCCGCGAGTTCGCATTGCCAAGTTTTTGCGTTTAGCGGTGAATTAATGTGCGGTAGTCAATTTTGAGGAGCCGGTTTATTTTGCTGTTGCGTCGAAGAACTTTGCTGAGTAGAGTGGATGTAGCCCGGATGGTTGAGGCCGCAAGCTTTACCGCCCGAAGCGCGGCGATTGCACACATGTTCGTACGCACAATTTTGCAAACTACAACCCCTTGAACTATTAAAGTTACGACAGATAGTGCGCCCATCGTTAGTGGTGGCTATGAATCCCGGGATGAACTGAGTGCTGGGGTTAGCGGTGCGGTTAGGTGACCTAGGAACATGGGAGGGTTTATAAATGGGCTCTAAAATAACTGTGTGGAGGTGATTCGAATCAAAACTCCACGGATAATGATATGCTGCCTGTAAGAGGCGAAATTCATCGTCATACTTAAGGACCGAGGCCCAATGGTACCGGTTGGAAAGTTCCATCACCTTAATAGTATATGCTAAATAATTCTGGATCTCGGCTTGCGAGTTTAGTTTCCTACTTGCTAACAAGTTATAAAAAATTCTGGTATTGCTAATCACCCACTGGGACATGGTGATTTGTTCTAAACGGGGCTTTTTAGACCCATAGGATACAACTAATTTGGTGTTTCCACCATCTGCTATTGTTCGCTCCTCATCTTTAGGGACAATATTGTCAACAAAGTCTACAATCCTTAAGGCTTTCTCACCGGTTTGGGGTTGCGCTGGCCTCAGAAACATCTCCGACGCTCGTGATTCCAGCAAGGAGTTTGAAAGAATCGGGGCCGGTTGGGAGCCTGCAGGAACAGTATGGAAATCACCTTGCAGCTGGCCTTGCATGCTCCATAAAGATTGGGTTTGGTCTGCAGCACTGCTCGAGCTGGGATTTATATTGAGGAGACTATCCAATGGCGTTGGTAAGGCGTCCTTGGGAAGGAGTGTACGTAGATCTTTCACGTTGGACGGGCCATGAGGCAACTCGTGTTCCGGCCGGCCGGTCGTCACGTCGCCGGCAGCCAATTTTGCCCGTTTGTCGGCCACCCGTTTCTGGAGAAAAGCTATTCGAGTCTGTTTCTCTCTTCGTTCTTCTTCAAGGTCTAATTCTGCCAGCTCCCTCTCCAGATCTCTGATCTGCGCGTCTTCGTCCGGACTAGCGATTGTGGCGGATTTTTTGTGTTTCGGAGAACTGAGCTCCTCGCCTTCGCAGTACTTGCTCGGAATTCCCCATGCGTGGTCAGTAAGAGGGGTTCCGCAGCCTGAACATTTGGAAACTCGTTTCTCCGAAGGTGATTCTTGTGACATGATCAAAGCGAAAATACAAGCTATTAAAAAAATGCTATAATTGCTGTTGCTAGTAAAGCGTAGGTTCAAATGAACTCAAATAGCTATACATCTAATACGAAACGTGCTAGGTTGGGCAATCCCCTGAGACTTACTAGCGTGGACTATTTTGATTGGTTCTAATAAAGTCTTGTGATTATACAATGAAGGTTGCTCAATATGAAAATACGGACTATGAACCCTTCCTGCCCCCAACCAGGGCCTCTCTGCTACCGATGTCTAGATTTATATTAATAAGATTAATATTCACAATAATTAAGTATTATAATCCATTGTATGGGCCTTGTGACCTCTGAATAGGAATTCTCTTAACAATCTCTTATCCTACAACAACAGCTTCATGCCTTTTTCATTATTGTTATCATATTTTTAAACAAAAGAAAAAACGTTGAAACTGGAGGTACCTTTCATCTATGTGACGTGAACATAGATCACAGGGCCCATTGTCAATTTACTGCAAAGCTTGATCAGCAGTTACTATGAATCGAATTTTGTACGAATTCAGTAGGACTGCAAACGACCAAGCAACGTTTTAAAACTCACCTTAATTCAACTCGAGGGAAGAGATAATTGTAACCTCTGCACACATACTGTATATCAAAAGAGCTCATGATTTAAAGAGACTGGTTCACGATAATGCGCATGCGCACCGTTTGTCCCTTCAGAATAAATTTGTCGGGTCAACACTAAATTCGAAATCGCCATTACCGGTACAATAATTGAAAATCCTTCGTTTTATTGGGACATCCGTCGGTTTGGCTGGTCTAGTTATACTTCGGTAGTGGTGATTAACGTGTGGTTGTGTCGTTTGACTAGTTACGTTTTAAGAAGACGCAAAAAATAATGTTTTGATCATGGAGGTACAGAAGAGCATCGTGGCCGTCCGGCAACAGGACGTTCTCAAGAGTCTTTGGAGATAGAGAAGCTTAGCCTATCGATCTGGTATGGTTCTAGGAGTAGTGTGTGGCTTACGAAAAGTATACACGACACTTGGAAAGTGGTTAAAGGCATGCGTTCGTTCAACTTTGATTTGATTTTTGACTCCGACCTGTAGTTATACCGCAACAGGCCGCGCGATCTTCACCGATCTGGTACACTTGAAATGTTCTTTGTATCTTTGCTTTACGATCGTATATGGTTAAGAATTGATGTGAGTATGAGTATTCTGTTTATAATCTAGTTTCTTTATGTGTGCTACTCGATAACATTTGTTTTGCGGAACACTGACCCGATGCAACGCGAATGAATTTGTTCATTTGCTGATAAGCATTTGAAATTTATGCTCAATTAAGGATAATCTTTATACTCATACGTTGTGCGTTTTTGTCACAGACAGGTGCTATTTGTAGGTATTTCTGGATTTATATAAGGCGAACTGAGAGAACAGTAATACGATGTTTGTTTACAAATTTTGTTTGCCGATCGGTGACTGCTTTGTTAGCGCGTAGTTACTAAAACATGGAACGACCTAAAACCACCTAAAACCACCTGCAACCATCTACAACCACCTACAACCACCTCAAAAAATTCAACAACCACCTACAACCATCTACAACCACCTCAAAAAAATCTACAACCACTCGGAAACAATCTAAAACCATCTAAAACAAGGTATAAATGTCTCAAATAAGGCGAGACGACAACATGTCACGTACATGAAATACGAGAATCGAACAAAACATCCACCTCCCCCTAAAATCTTACTCTCCCTGGTCCCCTGTTCCCTTGTATCATCAACCATTAAGCTTAACACAAAACTTCCACCGCACTGTCCTCTTATGTTGGGAGGGCTGGAATATAAGTTTGCTTTTGTTTCCTCTCTCTTGTGAAACTCATCGACAATTTGATTATAATTTAAGCAACAACTGATGGTTTGTGATTTTTAATTGTTTTAAAATCATGTTTCAAATGTCACAGTACCAGTGATTACATATGGTGCGAAATCTGGAATATGTCTGGAAAATTTCATTTAGAATCTCAGCAGGAGCAAAACATGATCATGAGTCACCATTGCATACGTGTCACCAGCGTTGCGTGACGACACTAAAAACGGCTGTGTAGCAGACCATTCGCACAACACGATGGCGTTCTTGCGAAAGGAGGATCCCGAAGGTACGTACAGTTCCTTTAAAATATTTCTAATGCAGACCATTCTTATTCATACTTTTCTAGACTGCTTGCATTCCGCCTTTTCCCTCAAAATCCGTCTAGTTCTTATCTCCGCCAGCCCGATTGAAAGCCACGACGTTATATAATACCTAATGTGACTGTTTTTTTTTAGCCATAGTGATACTCACTCTCTCGCATTTCATTTCGTGACTTAAGCCAAAGGTTGATGATACAAGGGACCAGGGGCCCGTTTCTCGAAAGTCCCGGTAACTTTACGGGCCCGAAAACAAATATTCAAATCGAAATATAAAGAATAAGAGCGCGGGTACTGGCTAGCAAACTACTCCATTTTCTTTCATTAACTGACAGTTTTATCATGTTGGATGCAAAACTATTGAAACCTCGATCTTTAATGCAAACGGAGACAGCTTACCGGGCCCGTTAATTATCGGGACTTTCGAGAAACGGGCCCCAGGGAGAGTAAGATTTTGGGGGGAGGTGGATGTTTTGTTCGATTCTCGTATTTCATGTACGTGACATGTTGTCGTCTCGCCTTATTTGAGACATTTATACCTCGTTTTAGATGGTTTTAGATTGTTTGCGAGTGGTTGTAGATTTTTTTGAGGTGGTTGTAGATGGTTGTTGAATTTTTTGAGGTGGTTTTAGGTCGTTCCATGTTTTAGTGACTACGTTTGTTAGCGTGGGTACGACCTCGTAAAAATACACGTTGGTAAATGATTGTTTCAAAGCAGGAAAGGGCTGTAAATCTTATTCTTATCGGCTGCAACATATATCTGAGGAGTAGCAAAGAATAAACTTGAATTATGGGGATAAATAAAATCAAACCAAATGCCCGGAAATACTCTCGCGTCGCGAACAATTAATTTGAATTTTGTAAATTTACTTGCATGCATCTAACTCGCTTCCGATTGGTTGAAAAACAATCAGCTACTGTCAGAACTCACACATGCGCATTATCGTGAACCAGTCCCTTTAATTGTTCACGTACGAAGATCCATTCGGAAAAACTTTCGGCGATCGTATAAACTCGGTCCCAGTCTCAGGATCGAGGAAGGGCCCAACCTCGTCCCCAGGGTCTTCTCGCTTTCCAATACGGCGGCGGCAGGAGAGAAGACCCTGGCACACAGTGAACTAAAACGATCGCTGATTGGTGCATTCTATTGCGCGTTCATACGTGCGCTCTCATTGGTTTATTCATTCCAAAACAAAGATGGTTATCCTTTGAGGGCTTCGTAGAGGCTGAGAAGTGCTTTCTTCAGTGTTTGAGACCGAAGTGGTGGACAGAATTCAGGTCTGATTGTTCGGAAAACTGTGACTGTACCGTTGGAAGGCAAAGATTCGAAGATAGTGATATCTGAAATGGTAATCGCTGGGAATATTATAAGGCGTAGAGGTATTGGTCGTGCTATTTGGTTTGTGTGTTCGATTCTAAATTACTAAAGATTTGTTTCTTTGATTCCCGATATGTGAAAGAATACTTGTAAGGCTTCAGCTTATCAATAAATTTAGCTGTCCGTTTGCAAAGGTTTAGTATTGTTCTGCCTTTTGTTTTCTTTGAACAATAGCTGTATGCATAATATTATTAATGTATGGGGTTATACGGAAATCTTGCATAATCTGTGCTTTGTCTCAGCAGTTTTTTGTCGAGTGAAACATTTTTTTTCATTTGATCGTAACATGCATGGGCCTAACCTGGCCTTCTTTTAATGTTTTCCACGGTAATTTTGAAGGGGGATGAGGAGTGAGAGATGCAGATGTCGAAACAAAACTAAAAATTGAAGCCAAACATAGTGTCGATATTCTTTGATATTTTTAATCCTGACTTTTCATTTATTCAGTTTTCAGTGTCACAATGATGATAATTTATTATTATTTGCTCATTTCATTGGCAGTAAAATACAGCTAAATACAGAGACATTGGGAAAATAAACTGTTTCCTTTTCTCAGAAATGAAAAACTTTCACATTAATGTTTGAAGCTTGTGGGATTTCTTTCTAGTTGCAAAAATAAAATAATGAAAGCACATGATGTCTTTTCATTTTATCGAGTTGAAAACAGTGATCAGCCCATGCAAGGAAATCTGACAGTCTTGGATTCTCAATTCTACACCATGGATACTGCATTCTGGATTCTTTGTCAGTGGAACTTGGATTCCGGATTCCAATTATAAGTGGGATCTTGAGTACTTGACCTTTATTCCAGATTCCAAGAGAAAAATTTCCCAGATTCCGGATTCCCTTACATAGGGTGACAGTGATCCTAAGATAAATACGTTTTCTGTCAAACCAAAACCTGTTAATTGAGCTTCTAATTACTGTAGGCTGAGTGTACATGTTGTTCTTGTCACTATATGCTTGAAAAGGGGGTTTGTGGACCAGGTGAAATAGTGGCTGGCATTATAGTATTCCAAAACCAGCTGGGTATGATTATGAAGCAGCTATAATTCAGTTCTAAAACTTGGATTTAAAAAAATAAACTGCTTCAAAGGGTGCATATATCGCTATCCACTGAATAAACAAGAGCGGAAGGGGCCTACAGCGTCTTGATCATGGGATTTTTCATGTAGGGATGTAAGGCTTTTGAAGTGTTGTGCGCCAGAGTCCCCAGTAGCATAGTGAGCTTTTAGTTGCCTAGTCACGGCCAATGAGTTTCACGTCACGTGGTCCCAAGTGAAACAGTGAAACAGTTTCCCTCCAGTTTGCCTAAGATACATCACCGAAATGAATTGACCAAGAAGGCCTGGGAAATGCCACACAGGGACAAGGCAAGGCTTTTAGTTTGTTTAGGTGTTGGGCTGTGAGGTGGCAGCTGTTAGATGTGCTGGCTTAAATACTTCCAAAGTCTACTTTAAGGTGTTGGTTAGTCTTAGTCATGTGTCTGTATCATAATCATATCATCAGAAATAATCAGATTAACCCAACTATTAAACTGATAATCAATTATAGTAGATTATAGATTTGTGACCCCTGTGTGCCACTTTCAACACTGAAAATAATTTTGTAAGTGAACAAAACAAAAAACCTACCCTGCAAGCCGATGCTTATCTGTCACATAGTTTTAAAAACCAACTACACATCATATAAACTACATTAAGAGCCCATCAAAAAGACAACACAGGTGTATTAATGTCCTTATTTGTCAACAATGTTTTTGTGAATTTTCCACAACAATCAATTGAGCATTTGTATAAGCAATACTCACTTTGCTTTAGGTTTCTGATCAATGATAGATTATGAGCGATAATCAGCACACCACTACCAAGTCATGTCTCAATTAGAGTACGAAATGGCCCATCTGACGAGCAAAGCATGTTTGACTTAAAGGATCTATTATCTCCAAATCAGAAAGGAACTTTTACAGTGCACATGACTCAGATAGGACAATCAAATTTTTGAACAACTGGAGTCTAGCCTTTAGTCAATTTGCACATTGCAATGGCAAAGTGCAGCCCCAAGTAATATGTAAAATAAACCAAAGTCAT